GTTACATTTTTCTTCTCCTGTTGCCAGAGGGCAATGGCATCTGGATGGACTTCCAAACCGAGCAGCCCTCGCAAACACAACCGACATCAACACCCCGGGTATTTCACCAACACCAGGTACCACCCCTAGCCCGCCAGGTAAATTATAGGTGTTGTTATAGATTCACCATTGAGCCTTGAAGTAAATTGGTAAATTTGACATATATATAGAACCAACGGTAATACCAGTACTGAGACGAAAGTATGATGTTAGACTAGCTACACCCACTTAAACTGCGATAAGCCTTTTTCAGCCGGAAAAGTTTCTAAAGAAAAGGAAGCGAACTAAATAATTGTAGAAGGACTTTACCCTTTTCCAACTTATAGATGCCAATGTAAAAAGTAGGACAGGATATCAGCACCAATTTTAAAGTCTATTAGGCGAACCCAATTAACTAGTAACAGTACGATCGTTTAAAAGTCGTTTTAAAAGACGGCGGTGGCTATAGAAGGCAGCCACCCCAAATCTAATGACAAGAACTCGCCTTGTTTGTCCTTAATTTTGCATAGTTTGTTTAATAAACGGTTAAATTTCTACTAAAAGTTCTTCTTTTTCTCTACCTTTTTTTTTTACAGCGTGCATAGATAACCACCAATTTTGTTCTGACTGGGCAAGAATAGGAGAATGCCAGAGGAACCCTGGATACATGTCATTCAACTGCAGGAAAAGCTGCAAGCAATGCAGCTAATAAAATATCAAACTTCCTCCAGAATTCGAACAAAATTAAAAAAAAAAAAACGATTTAATGTTATGGTACTTTTACCATGCACGTTTCTCGCTTTTATATCGAACTGCTGCGTGTCTCTTAATTTTTTTTCTTTTTGGTTTAGAAAACGGCGCTCAGGTACTTACAAGAGGGGAACGCACGTGAATTTCCTATGTCAATTCAATATCATACTTGTGAATGCTCTTTGCAAACAGTTAGATACAGATATTTCGAAAAATTGGCCCAAATGTTCCCAGAAATTCACAAAACAAGATATAAATACCCCAAAGCAAGATATAAATACCCCATAATATCTAATGATGTTATTTTGACGTTTATACGTTTCGTATACGTATTTTCAAGACATACAGTTACACAAAATTAAGACTTCTTCGCTTTCTCTATGTGTTTCCGAGGCTACAGTTGCGACTGAAGGGCCCGTAGTAAGTGGACTATGATGTACTTGACCTTCGCCACGAGTATATATGGTCATTCCCGACTTTCTTGATCTGAGTCCTTCACTTTGGATCTGCCATCTATTGCTAAATTGGGGGATACATAAATGGCAATTCAACAAGCACTGCTGAATAGTTCTATCGCTGCCTCGTATAAATAAAGGGAAACGTCTTGAATTAATGAGTACAGTGAGAATCTCTAATGCAAAGAATGTTTGAACAAACGACAAACCTGGCCAGTAGCCAACGAAAGTTCTAAAAAGGTCCTCCTATTTACTGATAAGCGGACACGCCTATTGACGTCCTGCCTATTAAGCGTACGCAGACTCTTAAGACGTATAAATGAAATAGTCATCTCTGTCGAAGACGGACACCTTATGGACCGGCACTAACCGTTTGTCTTAGACTATTGTCCGTTATATAGAGACTGAAATGTAGGGAGTAAAGAAAGAGAGAGACCATGCAACTTTAGATGCCCATTTCAGCAAGACCCTGGGGGGAGGGGGGGGGGGGGGGTTACTCCGGTTTTTAAGTGACAGGGATGATCGAAGGATTTAGTCACTTTTGGGTAAATGTAATTTTCGCGATCCCAACTTAGTCACTCTCTGGCACATTTGCTAGACTTAATGTAGTGAAATCCTCACCTTTTGAAATTCCTAATTAGCGGAATATTCTTACCCCCAAGATCCGAAAATATGCCACCCCATTCTAGTAACTCTGTTGAAAATGCAATCCCTTTTGGTCAATCCAGTCGTAAAAATGTGACCCCGTATGGCGGCACATCCCCATTAGCCTATTACGTCCCCCACGGGAAGAATTGATTGTAGACAGTTCTGTTGTACTGAATTAGATTCCACCATCCAACCTACGTCAGACAAACGTGTTTTCATTAGCGTCAACATTGTAGAACACTCAAGGAAACCGGAAATGCATCTACGTAGGCTTACAAATCCGCCACCTCCATTGACCCGCATCGAGGGAAGGCGGGCCGGGGGGTTTGGGTGGAGATCAGTGCATCAGTGCCGCTAAGGTTTTTAAGCCCTGACCCTGTGACAAAAAATGTTTACTTCGCTACACAGTTTAAGGAAAGAGACCTTCACGCATCACGCTGACTCATTTTGTTTCGCATACAGAATTAAGTACAGTGAAACCTCTATTAAGCGGACGCCTTCGGGACCTTCCCAGTGTCCTCTTAATAGAGAGTGTCCGCTTAATAAGGGTTGTAAAAATTGCGCAATGTTTGTTAAGGATCAACATTCAACGGTTACTCTGCACTGTGATAAAGTTGCATGTTGTTAAAGAAGCTATCCAAAGTTCAAGTTCATTACCTTTCATTATCAACTTTAATTTGTTTGTAAATGCAAAAACACTCACTGACTTCAGTACTTATTTCAAGGACGTAATCCAATACTACTATTGTCAATTCAGTCCGGTGTCCACTTAATAGAGGTTTTTAACTATAGAAATTAGCCAAATACAACTTATTTTAGTGTCCGCGTCCGCTTAATAGAGGAGTCCGCTGAATAGGGGTTCGTTATAAGGGGAAATATCAGACTTTCGTTTCGGAACCCGGCCTAGTGTCCGCTTAATAGAGGGTGTCCGCTTAATTGGGGGTCCGCTTAACAGAGGTTTCACTGTAATTTTTTTAGACTATATAACGTCGTCTCGTTACATTTTTGGGGGAAAAACATTTGCTGGTACCACGCCCTGGCACGCATGTAGGGTAGGTCGTTTAAATCGCTAACCTTAGAGCTCTTCTAAAGGCTTCCGGTCCAAAAAGACAGTCTGTTATTGAACCCTGTTTAAGATACCACACTCAGTTAGCGCCACGGCACCACGCGCGGGAGAGGGTACTGCCTTATATAAGCCATTTTGGTATGTGCCGGCCCGGAGGGTAGGATTTTTGTGCCCTTTTGGTATAGACTTTGCCCATTTTGATCTGGAATCGGGTTTGGTTTTCGAGGGAACTACGGGAGTGTAGGAAGGTATTTATCGTTTCAATTCCAAATGAGCAATAAAGAAAGAGAAATGTTGTGAAGTATTTTGTTGGTTATTTTAAGTTTCTTTCGTGTTTGTGCTTGACGTTTCACTAGTTGTTAGAGCCTTGTTATGATCAGTTCATAGATCAAGGTTAAACCGTATTTGTCTCGACAGGTTTTCAAATTCTATTAACTTTTATAGTAGTTTTTCAACATGATTATCATTTAATAAAATTGAATCATAGTCTTTGGAGTGGGCGCGTTTTGGCACCATCGCTGACCTTGATTGTTACCTACATCAGAGGTCCTGTTTTGGTTTAAGATTGAGCCTTGTGGGTTTAGCTGTCACACTTTCCAATTCATTGGTTTTCTTATGGGTTTGTTTATTCCACTTTGGTTATCAACAGGAAATTCGTTTAAGTCATTCGGAAAAGCGTTTGTAACTCTCATTGTCAGCAAGCCTGAACGTACCTACGTTTTACTTATATAAGTTGCCAGTGTTTAGCATAAGTTGGTGAGTAGTTGAGGTTAGTTACAGTTAGTTGACGAGCAGAATTCACTAAGTGATGCTGTAAACAAGACATATGAGCTGCTGTAAAGATTAAAGAACACCAAGATGTAAACTCAGATACCTGATACCTCTACGCTCAGAGAGCGAGTTGCTAGTAACCCCCTACAGAAATTTCGAAATAGATTTTAAAAAATCTTTTTTTGTTGGTGTTCCAATCTAAGTAATGATGACATAATTTCTTAGAGGTCAGGTATGAAAACGGGTATGGATAGAGGTCAGGTCTGAAGACGCGTGTAAAAAATGACATTTTTGGTCTGAATTGGGTTAAGGACCTGGAGAACCTGGTGACACAACTCCACCAAGAATTCCCAGGAGTACCCCCCGGGTGCGCCACACACCCGTCTATGTAAACTAAGGGATTGCCCCCTTCTCGGAATTAACCCGTTGATCAGTTTTACAGATTTCAGTTTCCTCGTTTCCTTTTGTTTCTATAGAGCTTGGCCGAGTACTCATTTAATCTCTTAAAATTTAAAGAGCAGTCTACGTTTAAAGTATTTCGATCAATTGACCTACTTTGAAAAACAAATTTCAATCAAAATGCAGAGGTCATCTCCGCAGTCTCGTGGAGTATTAGCTGGTATTGCAAATGTTCCCCCTAGTTTACACCGTCCATTTCAGTGGTATTTGATACGTCATGTACTGTAACATGTACGTGCAGGATATGATATAGATATCATGACTATAGGCCTACGTGACAGACTATGCCATGACGTCCGCAATATTTAATTTTGGGGCTCGTGGATTTCTGCGCTTTTCAATATTAAAAACGCGAACTCTGGACTGCACAATTGCATTTTTCGCTGCCGTCAGTGGTAATTACGGTCACAAATAACGAACCTTGAAATACAGCAACACACCGAGCGGATTGAAATCCGCGAGTCACAAATCATAAACCATGACCTTTTGACCCGGGGGGGGGGGGGTACTCCCATACATTACCTATACAGGTATGTGCTACCCAACGGGGTCGTGATTTTGAAGCTCCTGATTTAGAACGGGGCATCCATTTCAGAGGCGTTTTCTAGAACGGGGTATAAAAAATTGTGGATCACGGCTTTATCTTCTGCTTAAAATTGTTGCTGATTATGAAGAAGCATTTATTTGATGTATAAGTCGAACAAATAAAGAAATATCTTTTAAAAAAAACAGGGCTATTTCAATTTACAAACTTTCTGGAACGGAGTATAAAAAGTTGGCCCATTTCTAGAACGGGGTATCAATTTAGAGGAAATTTTTTTTCTTTTTTTCTTTGTCCTTTTCTTTGCCTCTTGTTGTTTTGCTGCATTTACCAAGGATTTTGCTACAGAACAGGTAGGAATAAACTTGATTGGTTTTCCTGTATAGATTGAACAAGAAGCTAAAACTCGCTGGCCTTATCTGGTGAAAAACTCTAGCGTTCAAGAGCCAATAACCCCCAGGGCGGAGGGGTAAACTCAAGCTCCGCCACAAGGTTCAACCCTTAGCGTTTTAATATCCTTTTTATGTACCATTTTTAACAGAAAAGGTACCTCTTTCGTATCTTTCTATTGACAAATGGTACCCCTTTCATGCCCAGGAGGTGGGGCGGTGGGGTGGGTATTCCCCTATAAAAGTCTCGGGGGTGCTCGTCGTACTTTTTAGAGGTTTAAGGTTTAAATTTGTGGATTGGTACCGCTTAGAGTGCTAAAACCTAAACTGATGACTGCTGCCAGGTATGTCCTTGAGAAGAAAGTGTTGAAAAGTTATCCTAATTACTAACTATTAAAATTTGCCAGTTATAGAATTTGTTGTTGTTGAATTGGTACCTCTTAGGGGTGGATCGGAAATGAATTTGGAACATGCCGAAAAACAAGATTCTGCTACACTGTAGGGGGTGTTCTTGAAATTTTTCGATGAGCACCACCGTCTTTTTTATAGCGGAGTACCCCCTTCGCCCCCCCGGGCTTTCACGTACGTTGTTTGGATCTTTGTGTCCCTTTTATTTGCTGTAGATGCACC